AGTGAGACAAAGCGACCGCTCCAGCCTTAATTAGAAAACCCGCTCCGCGCTCTGACCAAATTCCGCCCGCTCCGCTCACATGCTCTGACCTGTACTAACAATATCCAACATGGAGTAAGGTAATGATTTTTTTCAGCTCATGGATTTAACAGAGATTTTCAGCCCATCCTTCTATTCAGGCTCTATTCTAGGCTTTTATTGCTAGAATATATATCTAACATGTATCAAAGTGGACAATGTTATGACAAACCTGTCGTCCTGCATGGGGCAAATGTAACCTGCAGATAGGATGTTCAGGGAGAGGATGTTGGGTTCGATGATAGTCTCATCTGTTTCAGGGGTATTGCGAATGCGACCTAAGAGACAGGTCACAATAAATCACATGGAAGATATTCTATTAAGAATTCAATTACACCAAGATTCATACATACTGTAATATGCCTTGACTTACCTACAACCAGCTCTTTCACCTCATTCCACTCAATGTCATTTCCTGTCTCGTGCACTATGGTCACAGTGATTCTCCTCTGGGTACCCTTGGGAGGAAAGAAGTAGGTTTTTCAGAATTGCTACTACAACTGTAGTTTCAAACAGAGAGTTTCATCACAATGAACCATGACACAGGGCAAGTTGCGCGTATACTTGCTTCAAGATATGTAATACATATGCTTATTAAACATATGCACTAATGTAAGTCAGCAACATTCAGTAATAGAAATATCCAAAAGTGATTCATTTTGTGTAGCACCTACGGAGTGCAACATTACACTGTGATGTATGTATGTACTTTCTTTGGAAGAGCAGCTGACATACGCAGCGTGATAAATGCATATTTGACTGGCTGTGTGCTTATACCACCTGGTGTTCCCAAGTAAGTATAAACAGAATATATACCTGGTGCAGCAGGAAGGTCCCATGGCATGGCATTCCTTGTATATGATCCACCACTGCAGGGAGGTAGCTGGCCAGATATTTAAGAAATATATAGTTTCACCACCTATCTTGGAGCCATGCTAATTCTGAATTTCACTGATCTCAATATTTCATTTTTTGGGAATCTAATATTTCTTACTGTGGTCTGTAACTGTAACTGATACCCTTGTGTGAGTATAGAGAATAGCTCTGTAGTATGTCCGCTTTGCAAAGTAGGGTTACCTCTGGATTTTTGAAAATACTGTGAAACACATGGTAACTTAAACAAATAACATCTTAAACTGAGTATCTTTAAAAGTATTCATAGTTAAATATTAATCACCACTGTCTATTTAAAGAAAACAATTACATATTTTTATTATTTTATAAGCACTCAGAAAAGGTACTCACTCTCCATTAGCTTCCAGCTCACAGATCTCAAAGAAGACCATGAGGTCATACTTGCAGTGACATGATCCAACAGTAGAACGTCTCAATGTGGTCAGCTTGGTGGATGGTACTATGTGAGAAACTTGGTAGTATCACCATCAAGACATCCAAAGCACAAGTACTGATGGCTTATACAAGCATTCTCCTAATTCCTAGAAGAGCCCACATTATCTATTGCCTAATTGTTGAGTGGAACATTCCTGTAGAAGCTCCACATTATCTATTGCCTAATTGTTGAGTGGAACATTCCTGTAGAAGCTCATTCAGTCTAGCCTAATTCTGTCAGTTTGTCCATTGATTCCATGTGGTTTCTGATTTCTAATGAGTAACCCAGGGTCCTGAGAAATATTAATATTTTTTGATTTTGCATTAGTTACAAAGATGTATCAGATTATTTGTTGAATGTAACACTTGACCTCATTTCCACAAACTTACTGATTTATCTAACTAATAAAGCATAATATCCCAGAGCATACCAGGGGGGTGTTCCTTGATGTAGGATTTCTCAGTTAGTTGAGTTAACTAAAGCTAGAAATCATGATTGTCCAATAGGAATGCTCCTTATGTCACATCCAGCCCCACTTTGTTTGTCTGATCCCTTGGTTCCCCTTGGGTGTAGCTCCAAACCAATTGTCTTTTTAGTCTTAGCTCTTGTTCCTGCCCTTTTGTTAACCAGCTACAGCTGCCTTGCATTTGCCCCTTTGTTTAATCCTATATATTAGCATCTCTTAGTCTTGTGTTCCGTGTTTGGTCATTGTTCTCTGTCTACATGTGTAATCCTGCCTGGTCCTTGCAATAAACACCCCTGTGACGGGATTACCTTCACACATGCAGGTGGTCCTTCTCCCGCTGCTAGCGTGACAGAATGACATAACTGCAAAGATAAATGTGGCTATTTTCATGGTCCAATTGGAAGAATTTTGTTCCCTGGCTGATCTCTGATAGCACCCATCTCTGTGACCAATGGTGGTATTGGTCCAGCACCAGAGAGGATCCTGCAGCCATTCCATTGTCAGCCCCCGCGCCTGCTCCAGACAGGTGGTCACCCTGCTACTCCAGATAGGAGAAGAACTGGAGGCAATCTCCTCCACTTCCCTGGCAACATGGGAGATAACAGGGGCTTTGCTTGCCCTGCATCGGCAGGTGAAATGGATGACTCCACCAGCTGACCTGCTGCCAACTGAGGAGCCGTCACTCGATTCGCCCTCATCCACTGCTGCCCTCCCACCTGCAAAGTTCACCTTACTCGAATTCCCTGACGAGCCTACCGCTGTGCTGCCAGCAAAACCTTTTGGTTAGCTCCCGTCGGAGGAGACGGAATCCTAAAAGGCCGTCAGACCCTGATGTGGCAGCACCCAGGTCCAGAGGAGCTCACCACATCTCTGAAAGCATATGGTCCAGAGGAGGTTGGTGCTCCACTACTCTGGCCCACGAAAAGCCGCTGTTTTGCTAGTGCATGGCTTAAAAAGGGCGCCACAGCCCAGAGAAGGGGAGATCTCTGCTACCCCACTAGCACCTGGCCCAGGTATCCTTGTTGTGCCTTGCTTGCAGCCTGAGGTCCCTGCTGCGCCCTGCTTGCTGCCAGAGGTCCCCTGCCATGCTGCGCCCACTTATGGAGGTGCCTGCCTTTAAGTCTTACATATTAGCATCTCTTAATCCTGTTATCCCTGTTCGGTCATTGTTCTCTGTCTATGTGCAATCCTGCCTGATCCCTACAATAAATACATCTGCAAGGGGTATACCTTTCCACAGCCACTATTCAGGTAGTTCTCCTCCTGCTGTGAATGTGACACCATACCTATACTTATTGGATAGTCCTGACTTCTAGCTTTAGTTAACTCGGCTGACTGTGAGATCCTGCTTTGTGGAATACCCCCCTGGGTAAGTCATAGAAAAATGGCCCCAGCTGATGTGGGGAAGCTCAGTTTTGGCCTTCCTCAGAAAATAACTGCCCAGGATTGTCCTACACTGTACATGCAGAGTCTTTGCTCTTTGGAATTGCTGTAGGTTGCTGATAAGAATTTTGGGGAAAACCAAGCTAGAGTACTACACCCTGTCTACAAAACTTATATGACAAAAAATATTTAAGCCAAGCAATACTGGCTAACACAGATTTGTTGCAACAGAAGATGTCAGTGTGAAAACATATTAATGAATGAAGATATTTCTTCTGTTTATTTGATAATTGATACTCATTTGTATATTTAGCTTTCAGATGTATTTTAAAACACATTAAGGTTTTCTCAGAAAACTTCAGTCAACCAAATGTTTGATTCTTACCTGGTTTGGATAGTGGCATAACCCGTGGAAACTGCCTTCTACAAGGACGCAAAGGACTGAGGTAACAAAGTATTCAAACAGCATTGAGAAATTTCACAAATGAACATTACATAAATATCAGTGTTAATTTATATAACAATATCTTAATTTTGACAGCATATTTTGATTTAGTTTTAGTCCTTTAATGAAACATGCAAACATTCATTTTAGTCATCTGATTTTTAATTTAGTTTTAGTCGAGTTTTATCCAATGAAAATTACAGGATATTCAGTCAAATTAATCTCCTTTAAAATTGTTTGATTAAAGCTACTGTACATGCTGTCCAGAGGTCTCATTTATCAAAGTGTGTGTAAAAGAAGTCCTAAACGGGCATAAAACTTCCGAATAAAATGTTGAACCGCAACATATTGCAGAATTGGAAACGGTGATGTAGGATCACACACACGCATACAACAGGGGCAAAATTCCAGGACCCTGAGACAAGGCCTAGCCTGGTACGAGAGGTACTCATTGGCCTCAGCACAAAAGGGGGGTTAGTGATCCCACACACTTAAACACACACACACACACACACAGATAACAAGGGAGGCCAGCATTCCATCTTTTATGGNTTATGTTTTTTGAAATGTCGTTTTGTGTTTTTTGAAATGTCGTTGTGTTTTCTGTAATGTCATTGTGTTTTTGGAAATGTCGCTGTGTTTTTTGAAATGTCGTTGTGTTTTGCCCTTCAGGGCCACCGTAGGTAGGGGCCCTCCACCTGAGGATTTCACACCTGCAGAGGAGTGGTCTTAAGCTGCAACCAGGGGTGCCCACTGATAAAGGGAACAGAGGGGGGTACATCATCTCACATTAATCCCCAAGGTGTTTGAGAACAATATGTACAAGGTATTGTCTACTGATTTTTGTCAAAAAGTATCAGTACCTCAGTGGTAAAAGCTAATGGTAGGCCTACCTTTCAGTAACTACTAAGCCCACAAGTAACATGTCAATAGATATAGGAACGAGTAATGGCCCAGTAGCCAACAGAAAAGTTTGTTTACTGTCTTAACAACAGAATGTCTTATGTGCTTCAATATTAAGGAGTATTTCAGGGTGCTTTTTTGTGGAAAATATATTGACAAATATGTAAATGTACCTACAGTGTTGACTCATGAACCTCATAAACTAAAGTTTTGATAACAACAAATAAGCAATGAGCAGAGCTATCGAGGTTTCTTGCTGGCGGCTATTCAATTCTGGGAGACAGAAGTGACGAGCGGCGCATACGATGGGTAGTGAGGGATTTCCCTAGTTAATTTGTAGTTATTTAATTATGTTCATTTAGTTCATTAATTTATAGCTTTCATATTTCTTATTTTTATATTTCTTTCTGTCCTTGCTACTCGTTCATCATGTTCTTTGCCTATCTCATACAACTTACTCTCACCAAGGCCGTCTGACCCCCCGGCTCCGGGAGTCCGTATGAAGACCATAGATAAAGGGTCTGCTTCCCTCAGTGGGGGCAGAGACAGACACAGACAGACACTGAACCGGCCGTGTGAAACATCTTCATTCTGTCTTAATAAACTGCTTAAGCTTAAGGAACCTACCTCATCATTCAACTAAAAGAACCTGAGGTTTCATTGAAGAAATCTATAAGTGGGGTCTGGACATGGAGGCGGAGTGAACAACATATGGAGGTCGAGCTGAGAAGATGAGGGTTGTGGGCGGAGCTGAACCTAAACATGCACATAACACTATGAATTTGGCACATTTAGAGAGATGTATGAATTCCAGGGCTGTCGGAAATAGAGGGAAAGTGTCCACCCCAATATCAGCAGAACACCCCCTTCCTTCCCAGTTAATGAATAAATACATAATCAACAGGGTGTTCCTTATATTTTATTATGAATCTGCATGTTACTGAGGCCAATTCATTGTGCATTCAGAGCGCAAGAATGAAACCTAACAAAGATTGTAGTCATGTATCAGACAATATAATTTTATTAAATAGATCAGTTATTTTTTAGTTAAGTGATGTTTGGTTATGAAACTGTAC